AGCCGCTGCCCCCGAAGCTGCTCCACCTGCCGCGACGAGGAACGGACCGAGCACGCTGAGGTTCGCCGCCTCCGACTCCTTAAATCGCGCTTACTTGGGGGGCGCCTTCCCCACCGTTTGCGCTATCGATATCGCTGGCCCAGACGATGCCGACGACGAACTCGGAGCTCCTTCGGACCCTCCGGAGCGCTCACCAGACCTTGACGACGACGAGCATCTTGAAGACGGCGACCGCATCTTCTACACCTCCTTTCGCCCAATCGAGGAGATTCGCGCTGGGAGCACCGTGTCCCAACGCCTTGCAGAGGCCTTCGCCCGTAACTCGGCCCCCCCCTTCGGAGATTCCGGACTGGGCCAAGGAGTTCCAAGACGTCTTTGACAAGGAGTCCTTCGACACGTTACCAGAGCGGAGGGGCTTGGGACCACGCTATCGAACTCGTTCCCGACGCGAAGCCCGCTAATTGCAAGGTGTATCCGATCTCCCCCTTGAACAGCGCGAACTTGACGAGTTCATCGAGGAGGGACTTGCCACAGGCCGTATCCGCCCTTCGAAATCTCCGATGGCTTCCCCCGTCTTCTTCGTTAAGAAAAAGGACGGAGGACTTCGGTTTGTCCAGGACTACCGCGCCCTCAACGCAATGACGATTAAGAACCGGTACCCCCTCCCGTTGATTAATGACCTTATCAACAGGCTTAAGGGCGCCCGTTACTTCACCAAACTCGGCGTTCGCTGGGGCTTTAATAACGTCCGGATTAAAGAAGGAGACGAGTGGAAGGCGGCCTTTCGGACCAACCGAGGGTTGTTCGAACCTTTGGTGATGTATTTTGGCCTGACGAACTCCCCCGCGACTTTCCAAACGATGATGAATGACATTTTCCAGGATCTCATTCTCTCAGGAGACGTCATGATCTACCTCGACGATATCCTTATCGCGCATTCGGACCTCCGTAAGCACCGCGAGATCGTCCGCAAGTCCTTCGGCGACTCCGAATGCACAAGCTGTACCTTCGCAAGGAGAAGTGCGACTTGAGAAATCGTCAATCGAGTACCTGGGGGTTATCATCTCTCACAACCACGTCGAAATGGATCCCGTTAAGGTTGCCGGAGTCTCCGCATGGCCTCCGCCCAGAGAACAAGAAGGACGTCCAGCAGTTCCTGGGGTTTGCTAATTTCTACCGCAGGTTCATTCGGGATTTCTCGGCCCTAGCGCAACCTCTCTTTGCGCTCACCAAGAAAGACCAGAAATGGGCCTGGGGAGACGCCGGAGCCGCCGCCTTTCAAGCTATCAAAGACGCGGTCGTCTCAGAGCCCGTCTTAGCGATCCCGGACGACTCCCGGCCTTTCCGACTTGAAGCAGACAGCTCAGATTATGCGACGGGGCGGTTCTTTCACAACAATCCGCCCCGGACGGGAAGTGGCACCCTGTAGCGTTCTATTCCAAAAGCTTAAATGATGTCCAGCGCAACTACGAGATTCACGACAAGGAGATGCTCGCGATCATCCGCACACTCGAGGAGTATCGGCATTTCCTCGAGGGCGCCGCATCCGGTCGAGATCTGGACTGACCATAAGAATTTGGAGTATTTCCGAAAGGCACAGCACCTTAACCGTCGGGCAAGCCCGATGGTCGTTGTACCTTTCCAGGTTTGACTTTACGCTGCACCACGTCCCAGGTCGCCAGATGGGCCGTCCCGATGCTCTCTCTCGCCGGCCCGACCACGGTATCTCCGACGACAACTCGGATGTCACCCTCTTACGCCCGAACTGTTCCACGTTCGCGCTTGAGGCCGTCACCGTCTCTGGGCCTGGCTCCGAACTTGTCCGACATCAAGGAAGCGCTATCCGGTGAGCCTGACCTAGAGGAGCCCGTCGCGCTTGCGGCCCGGCAACTCTTGAAGGTCCGAGGTCAAGTTCGGGGCCCCCGCTCATCACGTTCGGACGAGTGGGCCGTCTCCGGCGACCTCCTGTACTTCCCGGCAAGGTTGTAGTCCCTAAAGACAAGGACCTAAGGAGGCGCATCATCGAGCTCTGCCATGATACGCGAGTCGCCGGACACGCCGGGCGGTTCAAGACCTTAGAGTTGGTTTCGCGCAACTACTGGTGGCCGCAGATGTCTCGCCATATCGGACGCTACGTCGCGACCTGCGACTTATGCTGCCGCACGAAGGCCCTCCGAAGGCTTCCGCATGGAGAGCTCCATCCGACCGAAGTCCCGCCCGAGCGTTGGCACACTGTCACTGTAGACTTCATTGTCGAGCTGCCCGAGGCCCATGGGTATGACGCGGTTATGGTAGTGGTCGACGCCCTCGGAAAGCGCGCCCACTTCACTGAGTGCCATACGACAATAGACGCGGTCGGAGCTGCCCGCTTGTACTATCGGAACGTCTGGAGGCACCACGGAACCCCGAGAAGTACATTTCGGACCGTGGCTCGCAGTTCATCGCTGACTTCACGCGAAACTCTGGCGCTTAATTGGCGTCAAACCGGCTACCTCCACGGCTTACCACCCGCAAACCGACGGACAAACCAAGCGCGTTAACCAAGAGCTCGAGCAGTACATCCGGATCTTCACCAACTACCAACAAGACGACTGGGACAAGCTTATCCCTGCCGCTGAGTTCGCCTATAACAACCACGTTCACTCCTCCACTCAACAGGTACCCTTTTATGACGGACACTGGCCGGCTGCCCCGAATGGGTTTCGAGCCAGGCGCCCGCTCAGAGTTGGAGTCGGTGAACGAGTTTCGATCGGATAGCTAACGGCGTCTCCGAGGCAAAGGCCGCACTCGTTAAAGCCAAAGACGAGTATAAACGGTACTACGATCGGAAACGTTCGGACGCTCCGAGGATTCAAGTTGGTGATAAGGTTTGGTTGGACGCCTCTGACATTAGAACGACTCGGCCCTCCGAGAAGTTCTCCCACAAGCGCCTTGGACCGTTCAAGGTGCTCGCAGAGGTTAGCAAAGGTGCCTACAAGCTAGACCTCCCCCCCGTTACTCCAAGCTCCACCCCGTCTTCCCCGTTGTTAAGCTCGAGCCCGCTCAGGACGACCCCTTCGAAGGACGACCCGGCTACGACGAACCGCCCCCGAACTAGAGGACGGAGTTCCCGAATGGGAAGTCGAGGAAATCTTGGATGCCAGGATAAGGTATAAGCGTCTTAACTATTTCGTCAGGTGGAAAGGCTACGATGCTTCACACGACTCGTGGGTTCGGTTCGACCGTGTCTTTGCGCCAGACAAGATTGCGGACTTCTATCGGAGATACCCGGGTAAACCACGGCACATCGCCTCAGCAACCTTCGACTCGCTGCCCTTCCGTATTATGCGTCGGGACGCCGCATTCAAAGGGGGGGTGATGTCAGGGGAACCCCCGCTTGGCCTCCTTCGGACCCTCCGAACGCATCCGAGGCGCATCCGACCGGCGCCCCCTCGGACGCTCCGACCCACCCCGACCATCGTCCCACGGCCTCCTTCGCCCGCACAATCACCGATCCGTCAAGACCCTCCCAACGATCACCTTGGGACAGAGCCTGCGACGCCGCTCAGGCCTTCTGCGCTCTCGTCGGCAGTTACGGACGACCAGTATATAGTTGGCGCCCTAGCAGGCGGACCCTTAGAGTTTCTTCTCTTTGGATCCTCCCCTGCTAGGTCGGTCCCTCCGTATACTTCCCGTAGCTTTTATTCACGCTTTGGATCCTCCCCTGCTAGGCTTTCGTCGGAGTCTCCAGGGTTGCCCTTACAACGCTTTGGATCCTCCCCTGCTAGGACCTTGATCTCAGGCCTCCGGGGTTGCCCTTACAAACTCCCCCCTTAGCTACTATGGATTTTGCTTTTTCCTGATGTACTTGTCAGGGGAACCCTTGCTTCAGTGAAATAGAAACATAAGTAATTTTAAGACAACTTCAAAATTTTGTTAAACGCAATTGTCACTTGTGGGCAACTTAGTATTCTGACAAGGCACCTTCCATCTGGAACAACTTGGGTTATTATATATCATTCTAACAGAACTGAACTGTTGCTATTTACATATTCCGGCCTCAAATCACGTGACATCCCGTCCTCCCAGCGCGATAGGAGGCTTTAGGGTCCTAGATCAAATTCACATAACGTCCGTGCTCGCTAAGGGCCGCCAGTCAAGAAATGATGATTGGTTTGACCTTGTTGCAGTACTCTGTCGGTAAGGCTTCGCATCACATGGAGATTGCAGCTTGCATAAAATGTGGAATTCAAGAAACGTATACATAATCGTCAGAACTTCCGCGCGCCGCCGACGATCATCCCAAACACCTGCACCAACCGGTGACCAATAATGCATGGAATCTCACCTTGATCGAGTAACTGGTAGTTTTTGAAAACTATTTCCAATTTATAAAAGAAAAAGCCAGCAGTCAAATTTTCACTCTATAGAACTGTTACACAACATCATTTATAGACTGATATTTACCCTGCATTTCTCAATGGATTTGGCTGGAACTGACCAGAACTATATATAGCTATCCCTGCCACCAGTATAAAATGTTTTTAATTTTTTTTTTAATTGTATTGTTAGATCTTTCTGATGTTTATTGGTGATTGCCTGTTTTGGGAGAGTATAGTTGTATAGAAAGCAGAAGAACACTAGGTCCAATATGAAGGTGAAACCTATGAATGGTTCACTAGCTCATGCACTCTAAGTCTTTAATTATGATTCAGAGGGAAATATTTCTTTTATGTGCTTATCCACAGGTGAGAGTAATGTTTGTGGGACTGACCGACCATGAGATGCATGACAACTGGGCATTTCACAGAATCATGTGATTGACTCATCTGAAATAATGCCCACAAACTGTTAGTTATCCTGAGAGTCTAGCATATATCTTATGCTTTTAGTTTTTCTGCAGCAGATATGTTGAATATCTCCAGGAATATGTATACTAAATTATAGTTGAATATCTTCATAACACATATTTTGCTGCTGAATATGGTTATACTGCACTACAAATATATAGAGTACTTACTCTAGACAAACTCTGACTGCCGGTTCCACAAGTCGATGTACTTGTCGCTAACCGCATCAACATCGTCGCACACGGCCACGACGCGCTCGTCTGCCCCTTGCTCCCCGCTACGCATGATGAAGAAGTCCCGTCCGTGGATCCAGAGGAGCGTGAGCTGCGGGTACCGGCCCACAAACGCGTCCAGCAGCGCGCGCGCCGCGGTGTCGGTCGGCGGGACGCCGGCTTGTGCCACTTCTCCGGGGATGTCTTGCCAGCGCTTCGTATTGACAAGCAGTGCGCGCAGCGTCAGTGGCAGAACGAGGTCCGAGGCCAGTTCTGTCCAGATCGGCATTTGCTGGAAATTCAGTCAATGGACATAAGCAGGGCATGGCTGGAGGAGGATTCACAAGTGGGAGATCCAGGCCATGCAGGTAGAGCGCCTCCAGCCGCGGATAGAGCCGCAGGGTCGCGTTCAGACTCGGCGTGTCGACGTCGAATATACTCAGCGAGAGATGCGTGAGCGTTGCGCAGGGGTCGAGGGCCACAGCAAGATCGTCGAGCGCGTAGAAGAGGTGCGGCGACAGGCCGAGGTGGCTCACCCGCCACGGTTCCATGGAAAAATGTTCCAGGATGCTGTAGTACCCACGGAGGTGCACCAGTTGGCCGGCAATTGGAAGGAGCGCGGTGCGTAGAATGGGACACAAGGATTCATGGGGATTCCGTGTCGACTCGTTTGGTTCATCTTCAGGCCGCGGCGCGGGGGGATGCAGGGAAGAGGCCGAGGTCTTGCAGGGCGGGGAATGATTTCGCGAGAACGTGGGGCAGCGATGCAGCGGGGGCGGTTGCGAGATAGAGCAATGTGAGTTTAGTCGTGCGCCGGAATACTGGTGCCACTTGCGAATCCTGGAGCCAGAAAGCAAGTTGGATGTTCAGAGTGACAGCACGCAGGCTATCGGCATTGAAAAACGCGCTCCAGAACCGCTCCTTCTCTGGGGCAACGGACTGGAACGCGGACAACTCCACGACGGAAAGCGGCGCTTGTGTCACAGCCAGGGATAGATCAATTGCGTCGTCTTCAACATGGCAGCGCGTAAGGTCCAAGCGCTCCAGCAGTGGCAACCCATGTATGCCAATAATCGCGGCCATCGATAGAGTTTCATCGTCAACTTCCAGGCGCCGCAGTCCGGTAAAGTGGGAAAGGCTTTCGACGAGGCGGCGAGATAGGAAGTCGAGTTCGTCTGCCCTGGGGAGGACAAAGTCCGTACCGATCGGTATCTGCGTGGTAATCTCTTGCTCGCTCAGCACCCTGACGCTCAGGTGGCACGATCGCACTAGCTGGGCCACATCTTCCGACAGCCAGAAGCCCAGACGCTTCTGCCCGCTCTCGAACGCCGGGCGCGCGGGCAGGATCGGCGGCGTCGGCGACGCGCAAAACGTCCGCGAAAAGGTGAGCTCGGCGAAGAGCAAGGGGCGGGTGAGCCGGCTCAAGCGCTTGTCTAGCTGGTGAAGTGTTTGGAGCTGTGCGCACCGAAGATGGGAGGCGATTTCGAGCCACAGCTCGTCGGGCACGTCGTCGGTGCAAAACGTGGCGGTGGACATGACGGTCAAGCGTGGGTGAGTCACACCGTGACAGCGATAATGATCGGCCCTGGCCAATGATGCCGTAACGCCACGTTTTTCTTCTTCTCCTTCTGCTCCCATCTTCCTCCGTTGACGGCTCAAGGTCGGAAAGGACGGCGGTTCTGGGCCGCGGGGGATAGCGCGGAGGCTACCAATGGCGTGTCCTTGGGCGGGGTCGGTGAAAAACTATGGGGAGCCCCTTCGGACTGGGACGAGTCCCGCACACGTGTCCGCACACATGCTCGCCGGCGCGGCCCGGGATCGACCCCAGGCGTGCGCAATGTCTGCGTTCATTCCTGGAGGTTACCTTTTTATTTTCTTCGGAGGCTGGAGCGCACGCACTGGGTTGCCGGGAGTGGAGAGGCGGCTTGGCATCGTCAGAGATAGGTGTCACGCAGGCGGGCGTGGGAGGCGGGACGTGCGAACATATAGCCTGTTGGAGGGAGGATTTGTGCGGGCAGTCGTCGTAGTATGACAGGTGCAGCGCGGGGCCGGCCAGCGACCGCGTCGAGGGCGGCGACCGCGTCGGGGGCTGTCGCGCGTCGCAGTACATCTCCTGTAGACGAAGTTCGGATATGGTGGAGGAAGCTTAAGGAAGCACTGTGGACGCACCTTCTATAGCCCTATCCCCTGAGTTTCCGTATTCGTCGAAAACGCCGTCGATACCAGCCCATGGACAGTCCAGTGAGCTCTCCGGGACTAGCGCCCGCGCAGCGAAAGAAGCCCGGCGCGCCTGAGCCCAGAGCCGGCGGATGCCAACGCACTAGTCGTCGTGGCGAAAAAAATGCGGTGCTGAGTAATGGTCACGCGTGAGTCTTGGCAATGATGGCCGTGAATGCAAGACACGTGGCGCTTGACAACTTGCTTCTGCCGGTCATGTCCGACACCGAGTCGGCGCGGGACTGGGATAGGATAGGTGCGCCATCGTGTCCTGTTTAGCGCCGCTGACGAGGGCCACAGTCTGCTCAGCGAGCCCCTGCCCGTGCTGTCCCGTGCGCTCACCGAGGACGGCTCAGGACGCGGTCGACGCGGTCGCGCGAGAAGCACATAACGAAAGGCCAGCGCGTGTTATCCGTGGACCCTTCTGCACGCATGTTAAATCAACAGCGTCCTTGTGCGCAGGAACGACTCACCATCTACTCCATTCTGCAGCAAACGGCAGTCATTCGGCTGACTCCTTCCGGACACACTGACCAGCCGGGGGCATCTGGTCGATGGACTTCATGGATGGGGACCTGGACGACAAGCTCATCCCCGGACCCGCGCCCGCTGTTCCACGCGCGGGTCCTCTGCTGTACACCGAGGCCGGGTCCGCGCCTCACACACCTCCGAGTCGGCATCGGGAGCGGCCGGCCGCCCCACCGCAGCGCCTCCCGCTCCGACTTCGACGACTAGCCTCATGTACATGCGCGCCTGCGCTGCCTCAGGCTGGGCCACCGTCTAGTAGAGAGCGACAAGGTGGTGGACGAGCTGCCTGGTTGTCCAGAGGAGGGAAGAGGGAAAGGAAGGGATGATTTGGGGATGATCTGCCCGTGATTGACGGGGCGCGCACGGACCATGCCGTGTTGCACGTGCCACGTCAATCGGATCTTCCTCCCGACTTCCATCTGGCAACACCCAGCTGCCCTCCGCCTGCCTCGCAGCGGCCGGGCCGTTGGGCCGCACCCGCAGCGAGCGTTGTCACACGTACGACGCAGGCGCCCCTCCTGCCGCCTCACAAGCTCTCCGCACTGGCCAGATCGAACGAGAGTTAAGGTGTGTGCGACGTTTTCACGCGGGTCTATCCTCATGCGTGGCAGCTGTTTCTGCGCTTTCAACAACAGTGCCACCCCCTGCTCGCGCTCACATGTCACATATACGTCTCGGGCAGCTCCACTCGGCCACCTCGGCGCGGGCCACACACGGGACAACGGAAATTCCACATTCGGTGGTATCGGGTGCGTACGCGTGTGTTTTCCCCGGGTGTATATGTGGCCTGACCAGCCAGACTAGTGCTATTCTTTGCCAACACTGGGCACAACGGAACAATGGGGGTGGGCACAGGGAACTGTGACTGCCACGACTCCAGCGCAAGGCCGCTCAACTATGTCCTCAAACTCATTGACACGACTGGTACTCTTCTGCCCCGCCCCGCGTTCGCGAGGGCACGCAGAAGCATTAGACACTGTGACTTGGCCTTCTTTTGCACCGATGGGCCCAGGCGCAACGAGAAGGTGGCCGTGGATGGAGGACTGGCCGCGGTGGATCGGTAGACGAGTTGGCGGAGGGGGATGGAGGTGCGTCTGCAGTGTCCCTATTCCCTTGCCTCCGCCGGCATAATCTGTCTAACAGAGGCGCTAGCCGAATGTCCGTGTTCGTGAGCCGGCCTGGGGCGAGGTCGAAGCGCTGGGCCTTTCTTGCACGACGACGTGCATGCGGACAGGCTTGAAGCGCGAATTGCAGAAGCCGTCTGGACTCCTGCAAAATGGAGGAACGAAGGGGAGACTCTTGGTCGTCCAGTGCATAATCACACACCAGTATCTTCGCTCTGACCACTTCTCGATACGGCCTTAAAGGCGTGAGCCTCGATTCCAACGACAACCACTTCACTTGGAGTAGACGCGACACTTTCCGTCCTACCATTTAACTCCGCCCCTGACAATATTAATTCTCATCTCGGCCACCCACAGTAGCGTGGCGTACTTCTCGGCCGTGCGTTTACGCCAGGAGTATGGAGAATGGGCACAGCAGTGGCCGAACTAGGTCTGCTCCCCAATTTGTATGGCGTCTCGCCCTGTGTCTTCGTAGCAAGCGGCGGGAGAGGCAAACATATATGATAGAGCGAGAGGAAGTCTTTTTGTCCAGTTGGGTGGGGCTGCTGTCTGTGACACTTAGTAGCGCGCCCTGCCATGCTACCTGGACCGCGGCTAGGGCCTGGCGGCACACGGCCCGAGGCGGGTTCATGATGCTTCCCTCTTTTGCTGGCAAGAGCTCTGGCGGGCTCAAGTTGGTATGGGTGCTGGGCGGGGGTAAAGCGAAGTCCTGCGAGTCCCGGTACGTCTAGCTCGCACTGAGTGTGGACTCGCAGTGTGGATCTTTGTGCCGAGGACGACGCGGCCCGCGGTTCAACGCCCAGGCGCGTACATAGGGTGAGGAGATATCATAATCGATGTTGACTTTTCACCAGGAGAGCAAAGGATGCATCAGTAAAACTACAGGTTGGTCTTGGAGATCTTTGGTCTTTGAAACAGATCTTTGGTCTTTGAACATGGTCTTTGGCAGTCTTGGTCTTGGAGAAGATGGTCTTTGGTCTTACAATAGAGTCTTGGGAATGCAATTAATCTTAGGAAATTTTTAACAAAAAAAAATTAAAACTAATATATAATTTCATGTGAGTGATGGTCAGCGTATTTGTTGACATAATAGGAGTGGAAACTATCAAGAGATGCTGTGAAGTGGAAATAAGTAGGTAAAAATGCATCTCCAAACACAGGAATAAGATGTGCTGAACGCAGAATGGTATCCACGTGAATGATATCCAAGCCACGCTCACCTTCATCATTGATATCTGGCTCGACCATCCACATGCCAACATCAGGACAAGGGGCGTCACCGACAGTAGAGAACCAGGTTACCAATGCACATGAATAGGTAACCCTTTCATGCTTGAAGGACATGAAAAGGAGAGCCCGAGCAACAAGAAGCCCACGGAAGCCAGGCTCGTCATCAGGGCCTGCGACGTAGACACAGTCATATCTCGGGGCCCCTCCTCGCCAGGACCGGACCGCCCGGATGCGCTCATGCAGCAGACCAGTCTCGTTAGAATGGTCACTTGGAGCATAGAAGGTTGCAATGGCGGAAGGGAAGACCATAATGGAGGTAGGGAGAGGAGGAAATTCCGAAGCGTCGATGATACTGATGTCGATATCGGGATTTAGCTGAGTGTAGAGAAACCGGCGGATGAGTAGTGGGAGCTCGGGTCGGTCAAGGAACTCCGCTAGAGCCAGCGGGTCTC